TATGCGCACTCAGGACAGTCGAATTTTCGGCCTTTGCATTCAAGTGCCTGGAGTCTTGCAGTGGAGATCAGACAAGCGGGGCAGGACAGCGGAATTCGGGTAGCAGGCTGACATGGTAAGCCGTAGACTTTTGGCTGCTTAAAACTTAAATTATAGCAGTGCCCTCCTTGCACGTTCAAAGCAATGCTCCTATCATTGGCCAGTTCCTGCTGCCGGCAATCCGGCCAGCATGAACTCTGCCCCTGTCCCACCCCCTCGTGGCTGTCCCCGGGAAAGATCCCTGTATGCTGCCCCTCTCCCACCTCCACCGTGTGGCTGTAAACCGCCGGTGACAGTTCTGTAAAGGAACAGGCAAGCAGTCCCAATAGTAACATTCCCCTAATTCTAAGCAGGTCACCATGAGCGACATCACTCTGCTGAGAATTTCTGAGATCGAGAAAGAACGCATGCTGCGTGAAAGCCAGCAAAAACCAGGGCCGTATTCTCTGCAAGGCAATGATCCCAAAGTACTTGATGATAGCCCGGCGAGGAAAAGTTTCCTACCATGGAGGATACAATAAGGCCGCTCTCCCCAGGTACCTCATGCAAAGGCTTTCCAATTACCTCCAGGAGAGCTTTGTGGAGATGTCCTATGAGGATTTCAGCTCTATCCCCGGACATATAGACCTTCTTTTCCAGTAGCTGCACTGGCAAGGACTAAAAAGTAGAGCGCCTAGGGCAAACTAATCATGATAAACCGGACATTGTTAGATTCTTTTGCAGTAGTTGCACTGCCAAAGACTAAAACGATAAGCGCCTAGGGCAAACAAATCATGAAAAACCCATTGTTAATATTCCTGTTCTGTTCAAAATAAATGTTTACATGTTTAAAACACTTACCGACTGATCCTTCCCCTGATTCAGGGTCTGGGTTAATGCCAGGGGACGGTTGGTAGGGGATTTCTATGAGGGTGATGAAGAGATCCTGGCTGTCTGGGAAATCAGCATTGTAAGCGCTGTCGACTGCCTCGTCCTCCTCCTCACCTTCCTCATCTTCCCCGTCCACTAACATCTCCGAGGAAGCGGCCGTCGACAATATCCCATCCTCAGAGTCCACGGTCAGTGGTGGGGTAGTGGTGGCGGCCGCACCTAGAATGGAATGCAGTGCCTTGTAGAAACGGCATGTCTGGGGCTGGGATCCGGAGCGTCCGTTTGACTTTTTGGTCTTCTGGTACGCTTGTCTCAGCTCCTTGATTTTCACACTGCACTGAGTTGCATCCCGGCTGTACTCTCTCTGTGCTGGCTTTTGAGATCTTCTCGTAGATCTTTGCATTCCGTCTTTTCGATCGCAGCTCTGAAAGCACGGATTCATCGCCCCACACAGCGATCAGATCCAAGACTTCCCGATCGGTCCATGCTGGGGCCCTCTTTCTATTCTGAGATTTCATGGTCACCTCTGCTGGATAGCTCTGCATCGTTGCCAGTGCTGCTGAGCTCACCACGATGTCCAAACAGGAAATGATATTCAAACTGCCCAGACAGGAAAAGGAATTCAAATTTTCCCGGGGCTTTTCCTGTGTGGCTGGTCAGAGCATCCGAGCTTGGACTGCTGTCCAGAGCGTCAGAGTGGTGCACTGTGGGATAGCTCCCGGAGCTATTAGCGTCAAATTCCATCCACACCTACCCTAATTCGACATGGCCATGTTGAATTTAGCGCTACTCCCCTCGTTGGGGAGGAGTACAGAAAACGAATTTAAGAGACCTTTATGTCAAACTAAATAGCTTCCTTGTGTGGACGGGTGCAGCGTTAATTCGATTTAACGCTGCTAAATTCGACATAACCTCCTAGTGTAAACCAGGCCATAGAAGCCCTATAAAAATAGATTTGATTTGCAATTAAGTTGATATGTTGTATAAGTCTAATCATTCTAAGTAGCTCAGTTTTAAAAGGTTTCAAAAATTTGCTTGTCTAGGCAAATGCTTCCATCAGCTTCTTGAGAATCAAGTATTAAGGTTTTTCAGCCCTTATGATTTTGAAACCTTTCCAAAATTGTCACCTGATGCTGTTCTGTCTTCCAGAGTTTTCAGAGAGCTTTAGTGCTGCTTATGTTGTTTATAGTTTTGCCAAGATGCAGTGGAGTGAAAACTTGCCTTGTTAGTTTCCATTTCTGCCTTTTTTGAATCCCACTGGAAGCAGTGAAACTGACAATTGAATTTCATTTTCATCAGTTGCAGAAGTAGGCACTGGAACTATTTTCCAAGGAGTATGACTCCAATTGAGGTTTGGGTTCCATGTTCAGAGTTGGTAAAGAAGTAAATAGAGAAGACTTTCTTCTTTTCTAGCAGCCCCAGAGGCTTGGGAGACTGGCGTGAGAGCTTCACATTTATCAGACGCCTACTAGTTGGAGGCTGATACAAAAGATGGTGCTCCAAGCAAGATTCAGGGATTTCAGCACCAATTCTTTCTTTGTGTGTATATGGAGAGAGGTTTCACTTAAGTATTTCCACAGGAATTTGGCCCAGTGTTTAGTATCTGTTTCCTTTTGCTATTAGGTATTCTCTTTAAAATAAATAAATAAAAATCCTATATCTGAATTTGCATGATGGAGGGGAGAGAGGAAAAGCTTGATGGGATAATTTAGAATAGTGAAATACGAGAGAGAGAGAGAGGGATGGACCTTGTGAGAAGGAAGGAAAATGTAGGAGAGGAAGTAGAGAAAAAACATTCTAGGGAAAGAGCAGGAGTTGGAGGGGAAGAGAAAGGAAAGAAGAAAAGGTGAGTGAAGCGAAGAAGGAAAAGATGGTAGAAAAGCAAGTTAACTTTCCACTACGTACAATTAAAAAAAAAAAAAATTTAACCATGTTACATTAAATACAGTATACAAGCAGTATGCAACTGTCATTCCTTTAAGTTGTGTGACCGTACTGTCGTGTTGTGGTGGAGAGATCTTTCACCCTTGTGTGTGTTTAGTTCATGTACTAGAAAGTATTTTCTATTTTTTGAAATATAGTATGGTATCCCTTAGAGATATCCTATAGGATCTGGGCCCCCTTGTGCTAGGTGCTGTATAAACACAGAGATAGGTATGCTCTCTGCCCAGAAGAGCTTGTAAAAACATTAAAATCAAAAAGTGAAACACAAACTTCCTCAAATATACTTCTCAGTTTTTGAAGCAAAATCCTTTTCTTTCACAGGTCAAGCTGCCACCAATGATGGAAATCATAACTGCTGAACAGCTGATGGAATATTTAGGTTAGTAGTGACCCAGGATAGATTTATAATTATATTTAAGAAAGTAGTTTATCACTTGGTAGTATTACATGAGAATATTTTTCCATATAACTTTTTCTCCAGCAGGTTTTGATTGAATATAGGTTACGCAAAATATAATCTGGTATACTAGACTACCTTGGTTATCATTCGTTCTTTTCATTGGTGCTGCTAATGGAAGTTCTGTGCTCTACCTTCATGGTTATATGTAAAATGTTGCTGTGACTGCCAGCTTATGGCCTGGATCATGCAGATGGCCTGGCCTCATGCTCCAGGATGCCAATAGACATTTTCTTCTTCAGGTTCCTTGCTTTGTTCATATTATATCTCCTGAAAAGTACGAAGACAATTGTTTCTTTTAAATTTCTACAGTGACTTTATTTTTCTCCTTGTTCTTGCCTAATTACAAGAACAACAAAAAATTAATGTAATTGGCATGGTAGGTAATTGGCACGGGGGTCTCTTATTTGCAGGCACCACTTCATTCTCAGGTTCAGTCTCTAACCCATCTACAACTGTTTCCAGAGGACAAGTCTAACTCTGATAGTCCAGAACATTCAGATATTCAAGGTTCAATCACCACACATTTTAAGCTCTAGACACTACAGGTCCTTCCCTCCCAGCCTAATAACTTTGGAGTGATGTTTCAGTTTTTTGTATAAAATTAACCTGAAAAAGTGAAAAGAACGATTTTCTCTATAACATTCCTTCCCTAGGGAATAGTTTATTGTGGGTTAAAATAACAAGGAGGAAAAACACATAAAGATTAGGCACTATACAATGAATGGATCTGTGCTACTGTAGGAAGCACTTGTATAGATGGACTGTTTAGATTTACTTTTTATGAGCATGTATTATGGAACTGTGAGGGGTGGTTTTTTCTTAAAGCAGGATTTCAACCACTTTATGTATAAGGAATACAGCATATCCTTCCCACAATTATTGCACTTGCTCTTTTATTTGTCAATTCATTCTGCACCAAATTTGGTTAATTAGTTTGAAATAACATCAGTTTTAAAGTTTTTTTAATGAGTTCTTTAAGAAATTTAGCATCCAGTGTCTGAACACTTTACTATGAATTATTTTAATAATGGAATAACAGACTTCAAACTCCCCATAGAGTTAAAACTCACTGAAATCTCATGCATTGGCTCTATTTGAGGGCATTCATTTTATGATTAGTAGTAACTTCCTGCTTTTACTTTTCATAACTGAGGCTGATAAATAGAATTTTGGTATTTAGGGAATGCCACAGAGAACTGTTCTCTTAGGAAACGGCCACCACCTCTTGTTGTTCCCAATAGGAAAGAAATTAGGCCATGCTGAGGAGATCGTGGACCCTCACGGCATAGGTGACACCATCTTCTTTGAGAGCAGCTTTGCTTCACGCTTGCTGAGAACAAAGGGAGGTAATGGCTGTTTTGTAAGAGGTCATTTTAACTGAGGGCTACTGTCATCTCTGTCCCATCAAGAGCCATAGGAGATGGCAAGAAAGAATGGGAAACATCACTTGGTTTATATGGCCATATACATATCTGTGATTTGGGGCTGCTTGTCAGTCAGAGGCACTAAACATTAAATTTTTCTTAGTTGCAGTAATTAAAAAATTCTTGTTTGTTTTTCCCAGTAGCCTTTATTTTAATCTACTGTTTGAAGGCTATTCTAAGCATATGGAGTTGAGGTTATTTATGAAATTTAGTAACCAGCATCCATTACATATAGCAAACAGTGAAGAAGAATAATGGAGATTTAAAACACTTCTACCATTGCTAATGCTACAAAGAAACTCTTAAGCAGCCCTACTAGTAAACTGGCTATGGAGAATATTCTATAACATATTTTCATAAGGATGAATTACAACCCTGGACTGATTGATTCTTCTGTGAGTGATTGTCTAAATGGATTTTGCTCTTGGTGTGCATATGCTTCATGCATGTGAGATGGTTTCTTTTGGGCAGTAGAGTGTGGGGCTCTGCCTGCATCCTACATGCCCTTTTATCCCCTCACCTGATGGCGTAAAGGTTGGAACAGGTCTAGCTATCCCTGAGTTCTTTCTTATGGCCAGAGGTTCTGTTTCGCAGCCATAGCAGTTGTCTCCTTTGCTCTGGACACTGTGCTAGTGGGTGTTAGTCAGAATCATAGTTAATCATCTGTTTACAAAAACACATGTCTTTTTCCCTTAGATAAACTTGTTAGGTTAGACACTCTCCTTTCCCCTCCCGAGGGTATTAGCACTGATAAGATTTAAAATCTGTTATTTCAAGTTCAGGATGGTGATTTTGACCTCTATAATTCACTCATTAGATCTTCAGGACTGATTTGCAGCTCTTGACTTGCAAGATGCCTATTCTATATATCAGTCCAGCCAGTCTACAGGAAATACTTCAGATTCTTGGTGGGAACATCTTGCTACCAGTCCTACCCTTGATCTTTCCACATCACTGAATGTATTCAATAGTTGTGATTATCTAAGGAGATAAAGAATCCAGGTTCATCCATAACTTGATTACTAGAGGATTCGAGGAAGATCACCACAACAGGTGATTAACTCAGTACAAATAATTCTAATGTGGTTTGCCTCGCTAGATCCACATCAAAAGACAAAAAACTGTACTGACTCAGCGTAGATTTCTTAGGAACACTGATAGAGTCCAGGTCCATGACAGCTTATCTTACACAAGAGATTCCAAATAATGATAGGTTTTATCAACCCACTTCAAGATCAATTAAGACCATCAGTAAGAACGTGTCTCAGGCTACTAGGACCCATGGCCTCATGCTCTTACGTCCGAGATTGTCAGACTTGACCTACATTCTATTGAAGGATGGTTGAAGTTGAAATCAGTTTATCTATCCAGAAGGCACTGCATGGACATGATGGTCACAGTCCCTCAAAAAGCTCTCTCCTCATCAGGTGTACAACACAGTACCTGCTGCCTCCCAAGACACTCAGACATCTCAAAAAGCTTTTCTCTACATAAATATCTAGAGCTCAGAACCGTCCAACTGGCATGAAAAAGCATTTCGGATCCACAGTACATGTTCTGACAGACTTTACCACAACTATGCATTATGTCAACAAGCCATGGGGGAGCAAGGTCATTCCCTGCTCTATCAGGAGCCATGTGGCAATGGAATTGGTGCATTCTGAATCAAACCACTGTGGTTGCCTGGCCGTCCTGGTCTCATTATTTTCATAGAACAGCTGATGGGCTGTTCTCAGATTACCATGCGTGATCTGTCAGAGACTCAGTCCTACATAACATCTTTCACAAATGGAGATTTCCAGAAATAGATCTGTTTGCCCCAGACCAGAACAACAGAAGTCTGACAATCTGTTTAAGAGGGTGTTGGAGTCCATCCTCCCTGACAGATGTCGTTTTTTGTTTGTTTTTGTTTTTTAATTGCCTGGCTACTAAGACTAATGCATACCTTTCCACCAATGTCCATGATGCCAAGGGTACTGAGGACACACTCCAGTATGGGCCAGGCAGTTGTGGTATTTAGAACTGATGAACGTTTCAACATAGCCACCATCACCTTACCGGCCCTGGCTGCGTAGTCTTTGAGAACAACAGTTAGATTATACACCTGGACCCAACTCTGTTACATCTGACAGCCAGGATGTTGGCTGGATGATGTCCACAGAAAGAAGCTTTCTTCTGAGGTTCAGAACATTCTGCTCTATAATAATAAATGGAGATATCCCATCTCCTAGAACTGGAAGGGACCTTGAAAGGTCATTGAGTCCAGCCCCCTGCCTTCACTAGCAGGACCAAGTACTGATCTTGCCCCAGATCCCTAAGTGGCCCCCTCAAGGATTGAACTCACAACCCTGGGTTTAGCAGGCCAATGCTCAAACTACTGAGCTATCCCTCCCCCCCTGCTCTAAAGCAGGAAGCCTTCATGAGATTTAATTATAAAGCTGAATGGAAGAGATTTTTTGTTTTGTTTTGAGGATCTCAGCACCAGCTTTCTCCCCTGACATCACCAATTTCAGCAATACTGGACTATTTACTAACTCTGAAATAATCTCAGTTTTTCAATCAGCTCCATAAGGTTCCTTCTAGCAGCAATATCTGCATAACACACTCCTATCCAGGGAGCCATACTTTTTTTGTTTTTCCCACATCCCACAGCAGGAAGAGTCCTTAAAGGCCTCATTCACATTTTTCCACTGATTTGGAAGCCCCCTTATCCTTGGGACCTCAATATAGTATTAGTAGACTTGGAAGGATGAGCTTTTCCTCGATAATTGTCATAAATGTCAATTTCACTATACACACACAAACCAACCAGAAAGTATTTCCTTAATCAAAATTTGCAAATAGGCAAACTAAGAGAAATGCTGCCTGAGAACTTAGTTTGATTTAAGGATATTTACTTTGTATACTTTGACATTTGATGCTGACAGTTTGTGGTGTTAATGGTTATAAAGCTTGAACTTCTTGAATCTCATCATCTTCTGTCATTGTCTGACCCCTCCCTCCATAATTTCCCTCAACTGTGAAAATGTAAATTAATAAAAATTGGAACAATGCTTAAAAATAAACATCAATATTATCTGTCAAAACAATAAAATAAAAATTCAATTCTGCCAAGCCTAAGTATTAGCAGAGCTGATGGATTTCCGCCCCTCTGAGTGCTGAGCAAGCTGTTCCTTTTACCACCTACCTGCAAAGACAGCTTTTCTTAGTAGCCTCACTTCAGCTCAAAGTATAGGGGTGATTCAGGCTCTTATGACAGATGGTCCCCCTTAAGTGTTTCATGAGGACACAGTAATTTTTGGATCCCTTGCTAAATATCTGCCAGGTTTTCTCAGGTTATGGTAAGAAGCTGCCTGTTGTGAGGAAATTCCCACTGTTTCATTCTTCTCAAAGGGCCTGTTAGGAGATGGTGAGTTAATATCTGATAAGGGAAGACTTAACTCATAGAGATTGGGGGAGAAAGATGCTGCAAGGCAAAATAAAGCAACATTGGGAGGATTCTGAAAGGCTGGTAGCTAACTTGTGTGTATATGTATATATGTGTGTGTGTGTCTGTGTGTGTGTGTGTGTGTGTGTATATATATGTATATATACACATATATATGAAGAGTAATGGGATGGGACAAGAGCCTTTGGTCTGGTTGGTCCCCACACCTCTCCTACTCCCAAGAGACGGAAGATTATACTGCTCATGGGGAAAGGAGTTGGCTCTTTGCAGTACTCCTAGCCAGTTGGCTGCTGCCAATATCCTCAATTTTTATATACTTTGATTAGTGTATTATACACAAATTAAATAGTTTATTAGATCTGGATGCATTAGTCAAATTCTACAACTATTTGAAACCAAATCCATACTAATTTTCAAAGCAATTCATATTTTGTCTGACCATGTTTTAATCTAACCTATAAAGCAGATATTGCTATGTTCTATCAAAGCATCTACAGATTTATTGTTTCAAAGGGTCTGTAACTCATGGCAAACAACAATTTGGGTATTGATTCAAGATCTCTCATTAACTTTGTTAAAGAATGTATTTGTCTGGGGTTATGATCATATGTGCTGTGAGGGCATTGCTCTATATTATTTCATCACATTTTAAAAATCTAAGTCTAGGCAAATGTTTTAGGAGTTTCTGTTCTCTTTGATAAACTAATAGCTAACAGAGATGCCGAGGGTTGGCTGCCCTTAAGAGTGAGATTTACAGCTCCAAAGAGTGAGATTCAAGGCCAAAGAGTGAGATTTTCCCAGCTGGTGTGTTAGATCATCTTTGGTCCTTGGTGACAGCCAATAATCCAGGGTTTTAATCCAACTGGCACTTCACTTAATAGTTTGTTTTAAATATACACTGCTTAATATTGCATATAAAACACTTAAATGTCCTAATTCATAAAAATGTCAAGGGCACGTGAGCATTCTATATGCAACACAAATTAATGGATTTTAATAAAAACAATTATTTGCTGTCGGAAACAAAAATCTGGATGATTGGAGATCCCTGAGGACCTGAGTTAACCCCTGGTTTAGGCACACAGTCAGTGGACAGTATAGGAGAAGTATTCAAAAAATAAACTGTTTTTATATAAACCTAACAAAAAAGAGAACTGTTTTATCAATACAACAATGTGTTTATTTTCTATATCACCTTCTCCTAGTGATCATCCATTTGAAAAACACTTTTCAGTAAGGCTGACAAGCGATTAAAAAGATTAATCGCTCTGTTAACAATACAATACCATTTATTTTAAATATTTTTGGATGTTTACTACATATTCAAATATATTAATTTAAATTACAACACAGAATACAAAGTGCACAGTGGTCGCTTTATATTATTATTTTTGATTACAAATATATGCACTGTAAAAATGATAAACAAAAGAAATAGTATTTTTCATTTCACCTCATACAAGTACTGAAGTGGCATCTCTTTATTGTGAAAGTATAATTTACAAATGCGATTTTTTGTTTTTTTTTTTTTGTTACATAACTACACTCTAAAACAAAACAGTGTAAAACTTTAGAGCCTACAAGTCCACTCAGTCCTACTTCTTATTCTGTCTGTCGCTAAGACAAACAAGTTTGTTTACATTGACGGGAGATACTGCTGCCTACTTCTTGTTTACAATGTCACCTGAAAGTGATAACAGGTGTTTGCATGGCACTGTTGTAGCCAGCGTTGCAAGGTATTTACGTGCCAAATGCTCTAAAGGTTCATATGTCCCTTCCATGCTTCGGCCACCATTCCAGAGGACATGTTTCCATGCTGCTGATGTTAGTTAAAAAAAATAATCCATCAATTAAATTTGTGACTGTACTCCTTGGAGGGAGAATTGTATGTCCCCTGCTCTGTTTTACCTGCATTCTGCATATATTTCATGTTATAGCAGTCTCAGATGATGATCCAGCACATGTTTGTTTTAAGAACACTTTTACAGCAGATTTGACAAAACGCAAAGACGGTACCGATGTGAGATTTCTAAAAATAGCTATAGCACTCAACCCCAGGTTTCAGAATCTGAAGTGCTGTCCAAAATCTGAGAGGGATGAGGTGTGGAGCATGCTTTTAGAAGTCTTAAAAGAGCAACACTGATGTAGAAACTACAGAACCCAAACCACCAAAAAAGAAAATCAACCTTCTGCTGGTGGCATCTGATTCAGATGACGAAAATGAACAGGCGTCAGTCTGCACTACTTTGAATCGTTAGCAAACAGAACCAATCATCAGCATAGAAGCATGTCCTCTGGAATGGTGGTTGAAGCATGAAGGGATATATGAACCGTTAGCACATACCTTGCAACGCTGGCTACAACAGTGCCATGCAAACACCTGTTATCACTTTCAGGTGACATTGTAAACAAGAAGTAGGCAGCAGTATCTCCCGTCAATGTAAACAAACTTGTTTGTCTTAGCGACAGACAGAATAAGAAGTAGGACTGAGTGGACTTGTAGGCTCTAAAGTTTTAAACTGTTTTGTTTTAGAGTGCAGTTATGTAACCAAAAATATCTGCATTTGTAAATTACACTTTCACGATAAAGAAATGGCACTTCAGTACTTGTATGAGGTGAAATGAAAAATACTATTTTTATCATTTTTACAGTGCATATATTTGTAATAAAAAATAATATAAAGTGAGCACAGTGCATTTTGTATTCTGTTATAATTGAAATCAATATTGAAAATGTAGAAAAACATCCACAATTGGTATTTTAGTGTTAAGTGCGATTAATTGCAATTAATTTTTTAATATAGCGATTAATTTTTTTGAGTAAATCGTGTGAGTTAACTGATTAATGGACAGCCCTACTTTTCAGTGTCATTTGATTTTGATATAATTGCTCATATTACATTTACAGCAAGCCTAAATAATCAGATTCCAAAATAAATGCAAAATAAATTAAAATGAAATTAAAATAAAACCCAACCAAACTATACTTTAAGTAAATTGTTTAATTACTTTATTTTTACATGTATTTAATCTGATGCTAACAAAACATAAAGGATTTAGATTTCACATTTCTTTTAATATCTATATTGGTTTCTAATTTGGTGTCTGATTTTATTCATTTACTTTGTTATATTACCATGTGGCCACCTTGCTGCTGTTACTATTTCTTTTAGTGGCTTAAACTTGAAATATGATTTGGGATTTGCTAGCTTCACTTGGATAATAGAGGGCTGTGTCCCATCTAGTCCAAGGTTTGGTCTGAATGAGGGGTTAGTGTGGACCAGGCCATAGAGTAGCTACATGCCTAACTGAAATGTTTACTTATCATTTGGGTTTCACTTCTGATAAGACTGTGTTTTAACTTTTTCTCTAACAATTATGATTAAAGTTCTGAGGAAGTGGGCTCTCATCAGTTCATTAGTAAACTTAAATTCATAGATGTTCAGAAGGGATCACTGATGTCATATGTAACACGGGTCATAGAACTTCCCCCAAATAATTCCTAGTTCATATCTTTTACAAAAACATCCAATCTTGCCTTAAAAATGTCAGTGATGGAGAATCCACTATGACCCTGGGGAAGTTGTTCCAATGGTAAGTTTCTTAAAGACGGTTACTTAAAGATGCCACCATTTTGTCAAAGAGGTTCAGGAAGATGGACAACTTTTAAAGAGTACATCTAAAGCTTTGAGTTGTGGAATAAACTATAACTTGAAATTTTTTTTTATTATTTTTTTTAAGGAGACTATATTCTTGATGCAAAACCAAAAGAGATTTCTGAAATTCAACGTCTAAATTATGAGCAGGTAAGAAACAGTTTCTAAAAAGCAATTTTGTTTTTCAGTAATGAACTAAAGCATTTTAATTTTTTTTTATTTTTCACTAAATTATTTTTGTTGAGAATTTGTAAAATCCACCAATGTATGGAAAATAGAGCCTTTGTTCTTATTTATTTAGTATCAAATTTAGTTTTACAGTCTCTCCTAAAGTAGAGAAGATTAGTTATTGCTATACGAATCACTTTCTTGAGAAGAGACAACAGTTTTTTCTTGTTTATAACAACAGATTGGCCTTGGGCTTAGTGTTCAATCTGACTTCTAAATCTTTCCCTCTCTGCTAGCAAAGAAAATAAAATGTCTTTGCATGCTGTTATATCAGCCATGGCAAAATGAGTTTCTTTCTCTGCAGCAAGTATAATGACAGACTCCATTGTACTTATTTTAAAGTAGTTCATATTTTCAGTTCAGATGTCCCTGGAGTACTGGTAGTAGGTACTTATTCTGAAATCTGTGATAACTGAAAACCATGCTTTTCAGATTAGCCTACCCTATTCAGATAGGAATAGAAAATTTAATCACTTCAAATTTATCTGTAGATGCTGCTGTAACCAGATCACAGAAGTAGTACAGAAAGTCTTAAGAATTCTTGGAAGTGTTTTATAGCTATTTCTTCTTCCTTGAATTGAGGATATAGTAGTTGATCTAGTAACAGTAATATACTTATTCCATTTTTAAATATAACTGAGGTAAAGGTGTCTCTCCCATATATGTATTTTTAATAACAAATCTGTTGTGGGTACTGCTAGTATAGAGTGACTGCCGCATTTAATCCGAGGTGTGTGATCCTACATATATGTTTTGAAAAGAGCTTTGGGAGCCTTTTGGGATGAGTCACTATAAACATTAATTTTTTAAAAAACTGCCCTGTAGAGGCAATTGGGGTGCATGCAAATAGTAATTTTCTTATTAAAACAAAAAATCGCTATACATACCCAAATTAAAAGGACATGAACTGCATGAAGTTTTTGAAAATATATTCTTTGATATAGTACCAATAATGCATTCTGAATTTTGTAAAGTCCTTTTTAAAATGTGCAACTTTTTCTGCTTCCTGTTGATGTTCAAGAAGTGACTGATAGCAACACTACCCAGGATGCTCAGCTCATTCCTCACTTTTGTTTCACAGCACACTTCTGTCTGAATCATTTTCACTTTGAGATTTGATGCTTGTGATACTGATAAACATCCTCTTGCAGGATCTGGAGAAAGATGTGTACCATCAATAAAACTGTGACTCTGACCACAAAGTAAATGAAATGGGAGAGGAGTGGAAAGAAAGATTTTTCTTTTATGTTTTGTTTTGTTGTAATCTTATAGGTTATTTGTTATAAATGTATACCTAACTGAGTTTTCTCGCTCCATTTTAAGTACTAAAAAGGCAAAGTGACATCATGAAAGCTTGTGTACGAGCTTATGTAAGTGCCAACAGTGACTGATGTAAGCCGTTTTTCTTTAAAAGGTGTCTTGAGTCACTTGTGGGTGGTTGGAAGGCAAATGTCTAGGAACATGAGTTCACAATTTCAACTTGGTATCTGAAGTCAAGGTGGATGTTCCTTGGTTCATACGTCATCCCCACTAATAAGCTGAGCATTACACAGATATAACTGAAGTCACAATTTGGAGACAAAGGGCTTGCACAAGCTAAGGCATAATTTGACATTTAGGGTCTTTATTCCTGTATTGACATGTTAGTCAGAAAAAATGCATGGCAGTGCACTAGAGATTGCACTTCTACAAATCAGACAAGCTACATAGATTAGATTAGTCAGGGACTTCAGTTTCTAGTGCTGTTAATGCAGCATCATTCACAAACAAATTTCACTTCATATCTTGAAAAGAAATCCTTTAGATTAAAAGTGTTTGGGAAAATAAATTAAGAATCCTAAAACTAAGGAAACTGATTATTGCTCCTGACTTTTCAGGGAGAGGTGCCTGACTTTTCAAGAAGAGGTGCACTAACGTGCCATGCAGACCTTGCTACAGTGCACAAAAATGATGAGCCTTTGTGTTGCTACAGTTGTTAAATTGCTTCTTCTCAAGGAACTAAGACTTTAAAATCTTAAAACATTATTTTAATCACTTGTATTGCCTTAAACGATCAGGACAAAACATTGAGATGATGCAGAAATATTTCTTATTACAGACCTTGATAAATTTACAAGATGCACCTACTAATCAGCATTGGGTATAAAAGATGAAGGGGATCTGTGCTGTTTCTTTCCAGTAGAAAACATGATACACAAAATAATGAACAGTATATAGAGAAGATAGGTTGGGCACTTCTGTTCCACTTTTCTCCTAATATAAGGAAAGTGGACCTTTAATGAACGAATTAGCAACACATTTCAAACTAATAAGGAAACAGTTTTTCATAAAACACACAATTAGCCTGTGGAACTGATTGCCACAATGAGACCAAGAGCTTTGCAGAGTTCGGAAAAAGGTTGACATTCATGATATATTGATAATGGAAACATCTAGAATTACAGTGGAAGAAACTTTCCCTATGAGTAGGCTATTCCATGACTGTTTACTGCAGTATTTCTTGCATGTTCCTCTGAAGCAGCAGGTATTGGCTACTGTTGGAGATAGGATACAAGATTAGATTGACCAATGATCTGGTAAGGCAATGCTTATGTCTTTCCTACCCATCCCAGAGCCTCCTGGCTGCTGCGACAGACAGAAGCTTTTGTTACTGTACTCCTCTCCTCAGCTTCCCCGCTCCTGTGGGGTGTGGGCATCAGGTCTCCACTGTTCGACTTCTCACCTAGAGCTTCTTGGATGCTGGGTAGGGTGGTGTGAAGAAGTGTCCTCCTTTATCTACCTCTAGACCACTTTTTGAGTCTGTCTCCTCTGTGAAGTGCCTGCTTCTATGCTTTATTGCTTTCTCTACATCCGTGTAAATTTGATATGATTCCAGAGTTTTATTGCTTCCCACAGGTTCTGAATAGAAGCAGTGAAACAGACCAGAGTCTAAATACTCTGCTGGTGCTTGGTAATGCTGTGCAAAGGCACTGGAACTGACTGCAGATTAGGGAAGACAATGCTGAGTTGGTTTGCATTTTGGAATATTTACTCTAGTACCATAAAGAACAGAAACAAAGGGGTTTTTTTTTAATTAAAAGCTTACTTTTTGTAGAAACTGCTAACATATGCCCCCAAGTAGCATGCAAAGCTTCCTACTTGCCTCCAGTGAGTGAATTTTTTCAGCTCCATCTACATGTGTTCATAGCTTATTCCCTGTGCATAACATTTTTAAAGGAGAGGTGGGGGGATTTCATTGGGAGTAAATGATTAGAGTTTGAAATGGAACTATTAATTTTTTATTACTGGATCTCCTTATTTGGTTTGGGAGGATATACACATACTTCTTGTATTTGTTGTGCTGGAAACAGCAAGTGAAGTGGTATTGTGGAAACTGAAATTGACATGGAGCATAGTCTTTCAAAATTATCCAAAATGATTTATTTTGTGTTATAAACTTTGATTGGAGTAACTGACATATAATGTTTCATGTGTCCAAGTGAGTGCTAAGTTATCAATGGTTACAAGAAATCTTGTGATTTAGAAGTTATTGGAAAAATATTGTATAGAGATAGATGCAGTGTACTGGAATAAGGTTGAAGAAAATTAGCTACCCATTTAAAGTGCAGCCTCTCTGGCCTCCCTTTACCCAACTGGATGAGTTTACATGTAATTGTCATACAATATTTTTGTTTGGTATGTTCCTTTACATCATTAAAGAGGCTAGTGTAGGTATATTTTAACTTCCATGCCACATTGCTTTATAAATATATAAATAGTCATATTTATCCAGTATTTTCTAATCTTAGTAGCGCTCACTTTGTGGAGTAGCAGACTCCATTCTTATGGCGACCTAGTTGTTTCATCCACTTTCTCAGCAAATATTTCATAGTGCTCTGGTGAGGTATTGTATTTCTAGGAATGCATTATGCCTTGAGAGAAAATATATATTGTTATAAAAAATCAGTTTAATATAAACTGGAAACACAATTATACACTAATCATAATTGTGTGGTTACTGTATGGTGTCACTACAGTGTAGAGAAAAGATTGTCTGGGTGTCTTTACTGTACATTTCCTTACTTGAACTGATTTGAATTTCTTTTTAATGTAACCCTTATCTCTGCATTTTTTGGGTGTGTAATATCTGTTTTTGTGGTGGTTACAGCATCTTTGTAATGTGTTTTTACTCTTACATAATTAATACGTTAAAATAGAGTTAAGATGAGACTACATAGATTTTTATTGTTGTTTGGGAATATATTGGGAGGATTTAATTAATTGAAACTATCTGCTGCTTGTCAACCTAATGACAGCAAGTACTATATTTTGCATTTCTCTTGTTCTCAGTGTGTGGTTCTTTTAAAAAGCAAATAAAAAAGGATGAGATGCCACATTTTACTGAAGAATTTGTAGTTTTATAAGTATGCGTCTCATATCTCTGGACTGCACTGTAGGTTTGCACATGGCTCATGTGAAAGCTCATAATCGCTTGAATAGTAGCCTCCTTCAGGGCTGTGCATGCTTCCTCTGCCTCTTTGTGCTTTCGTGTGGAGTGGCTGCAACCCTCCTTAAGTTCCTTCTCACCTCCCATGGCAGCAAGGTGGAGCTTGGACTGTATTTGACCCGTTTCTTTTTTTTCTAGGCTTCAAAACTCTTGATTTCTCAAGAAATCTCTCTTCACTTTCTTTATTTTGATATTTCTATTAAAAATTCGTTTAAATGGGCATTCTCCTCTCCCCAAAAAGGAAAAGGTCAAGAAGGGGAAGATCCTCCTGCATACCTCCTTATACAGTGGGGTGAAATGCTTCACACTGACTGTTTGTAGTGGTGTACTAGAATCAAACTGGGTTTAAACCCTGTCCTTCTTGTGATTGTCTGATGCCTTTACCCACTGATTAGAGAACCTGCTCCAGCATGGTGCTTCAACATTGTCCTCCTAA